CGACCATCGTTTGCAGCCTTGCCAACGAGTTGTTTCTAGTGCTTTGTGCTGCTGCCCATTCGGATTGCATCCCAGCGGCTATGTGTTTCAAGAGAGTGAAATATGTGGGCAGGAGAGGATGTAAACCTAGGAATGGCGAATGATTTTTTTTTTTCTTTATTTGGCCACTGCACTACTGGCTGTGGAACTGTTTGCGTTGAGAGGTGGTAGCTCTGTTTCACGCCAGCTGAATTTGGAAAGTGTCGTAGGCAGCGCATGTTTAAACTGTTTCCTTTTGCAGCAGGAAGGAATTGTTATCGCGGGATGACATTCAGCTTGACTGGAAGCCGCTGCATGATGTTTACGTTGAAGTGTGCTACAAGAACTTGGAAGAAGATGGATTATTGCTGCTTCCGGAAGGCATGAAAGCAGCGCTGGAGCAGGTCTGATTTTTCATCCTTATTGCAGTAGTTTTCATTGATTTAATGTTTTTCACTGAAGTTCGTGTTGTGTCCGTACCAGAACTCGAAACCGTCATACTACCTGGCAAGTAGATTTTCCTAGGGTTAATTCCAGCTTGGGAAATTTCTAAGAAAATAAGGAGTAAGAAACACTCTTTTTAAAATGATAACCGTGATTTCTACGTATTCCTTTGCGCTAACTCAACATATGAACAGTGTTTGAGGAAACAGTAATAGAGTGCCATGCTGAGAGTCACGCAAGAGCTTTCCAGTAGAACGCATACTGTCAGAAATTTGTGTGCAGCATAACCAGGATTCCATTAGTTGGACTATCCACATTTCAACTGGCGATCTTCCTTTTCTCTTTTTCCAGGTCATTATGCACTGCCGGACGTACTTTAGCCTAAGTGCTACGCGAGAAATTCTGGATGAGGTAAGTTTATGGATTATCTGTTCTTACACCTTTATTTGTAGAAAAGATTATCTTCCTTTAGAATAAAAATGAAGTGAAATTCATCTTTTGTGAAATCAAGGCCGGCATCGTTCTGAATGAATTGTACAAACGATTTTAACTTGGGCTGATTTTAGCTTAGGATTTTGAAAAACTAGGATTTTTTTCCCTATCCCGAAAAGCATATTCGCAGTAGTACTTCGCTTTGTAAGCTTGAATGCAGCAT